GGGCCTGTGTGTGTCCCCCCCCCCCCCTTCCCGCTCCCTGATTGGGCTGGGCCTGGCCGCGTACGAATTCTGCCTGGTTCTCGCTCAGGCTAACTTACACCCCCGCCTTTTCACCCTGGGCGGGCTGGGCACTTCGGTCGTCAGTGTCACTCGTCCCCTTCCTCCCCTTGCGGGGTGCGCCCCTGATTGGGCCGGGTGTCTGTGCGCCCCTTACGCACCATCTCGGGCCCCCCCATCCCTGGCTGGGATGGGCTTGGCTGGCGTGTGTGCATTAGCCACGCCCCAGGAGCGGAGCCTCCAAATTCCGGGGGGGAGGGGGGGAGGAAGGTGTTTAATTAGATTTTCTGGATCTGACTTCTGCATACTTTACTCAAGTTGATAATGCTTCTCCAGAGGCTGCCAGTCTACTGTGGTGTACAGCATCGTGCGTCTCTCTTTGGGCTTATCGCTGTTGTACTTTAATACTCATGTAGCGCCAAGGTTCGTAGAAAACCATAGCAGAAATAGTTCGTAGTGCTGGTTTCAAGGGTGCTGACTTCAGATCTGTTTGAACAAAGAGAGCTCAAATATGAAGAAGTCTGAATTAACTTTAGAAAGACAGGATGCTATGGATAACCCAGAGTGATGCATTAGATACAGAGTTGTTAGTAGGCTGCAGCAGATGGTTAGGAGAACAAGCTTCTGCATAGTAATTCAGTTGTAACGTATTAACAGCCATAGAATTTATGTTCAGAGAACAGCTGCAACTGTTGATGTGCATGTGGCAGAAAAATCAAAACATATAATTTGAATTTAGTCTATTCAACTGTTAAAAAGAGTGCTGAATATTCCAGGCTACAAAAATAGAGGGAGGCTGAAACTTATACTATTAAAAGATTCTATCTTTTATACATGAAGTCGTATTTGATGACTTGACATCTTTTTTTTCTTCACATTTGCTACTAATGTGTTGCATTGGGTGGGTGCACACAAGGGAATGGATTTCAGATGCTTAAAAATTCAAAGTCAGGATTCACAAGCTGTCTGATAGCAATAAAGGAGATTGTATGTACTGTGGAGCAGGGATGTAAAATTCTATTCATTTAGTTAACCAGTTAAATGTTAAGTTTAGGCAGTTAATTGATTAAACTGGGGCAGCCGGGAGTGGCCCTTGCCCATGGTCCAACCAGGGCTACTCCAGCTCCATAGTGCTTCGGGCTTTTCACCCTGCATGGGTGAGGAGCAGAAGCTGCAGTGTGGGGTGGCAAAGCTGCTGGCTCCCAGGGCACGCAAGCTCTTGGTCTGGAAGTTGGCAGGCTCTCACAGGGTATAGTAGGCCAGTTACCCATAGAAGTTATCTGTTCAAATCCCTACTGTAAAGATAGAAATTTCAGCAATGAAATTTTATTTCAGTTTCAAGCTTCCAAATGGCATCAAGCAGAAAAGCATTCTAAAAGCAATGGTAAAACTCTTATATACAATATTATTATTTAAGAAGAGGCTTCCCCTTCTATGTCTTCTGGATTGTTTATTGCTCTGTGTGGTATGCTGGTGCTAAACTAACAAAATAACCATTTTTCATAGAATTATAAGATTAGAAGGGACCACAGAGGTTATCTAGTCTGGAGCTTTTTTTATTGCTGCCATAGACTCTTAGATGGTGATTGGGGAAGAGACAAAGTACCTATAGGGATTGGGCTCTGTCCCCCTTTGGAGTCACAAACACAAGAGAAACAGTCAACCAGTGTGAACTGTTGGGTTGGTGGGGCTCAGACCTGGGACTCCAGCTGCAGGGCCTTGGGCTTTGACCTCAACCACATGGCAGCAGGCACTAGCCCTGGACTCCCCATCATTCTTGGCCCCCGCTGCCATCTACCTCATCAAGGGTTTAATTTGCTTCTTGGCTGGGCAAGGCTGAGAGTCTTTTGTGAACGTTGGTATTTGTATTCGGGATGTTAAATATTGGTTAATTGAATAGTCGATTAACCTCATGAATTCTTATCCGTTAGTCATCTATTCTGTAGTCACCAGGCAGCCCCTGTCTGGGGGGAGGCCAAACATGAGCAGGAACTAAGCTGGGCTGCCTGCCCACCTGGCTCCTAAAGCATTTTAAATGCAGAGCCGCAGTGGGGATAGCTCCAGGACCCAGTGCAAGCCGGGACTGAGCTGAGCTGCTGACCAGCCTACTAAAAAGTTTACTGGCAAGGGGTGGGAGGGAAATGGGTGTAGTCTATAGCAGTGGTGCTTAACCTTTTTTCATTCGTGACCCCCGGAGCTGGGAAAATTTTTGTTGAGCAGAAATAGCCTTAAGCTATAAGCTTTTGCTTATCAGTTAATCGGCTATACTATCACATCCCTAATTTGTATATTTGTTAATATCACTCTTTGCTGCAGACTTAGCTATCTGAGAGATGTGAAAGGTGATTTTAACATACATACATACATATATATATATATATATATACACACACACACACACACACACACACACACACACCACTTTTCAAGGCAGCAGACTTTAACTAGCAAGCCTTTAAAAAAGCAATAAAAATATAACCTGTATAAATAAATTACAATGATTTGGACATTGATTTGGACATTCACATATGCATATTAAAATGGCCAAGAGTTAATGGCCCCACTCTTAGGTCACCAAAAAGTTTGCTGTGACAACTGCTAAGCTAGTCTAACCCCCTGCCAAGATTCTGGATTTGTTATGTAAACCATCAAAGACGTATGGCTATTCAGTCTCTTTTTAAAAACCTCCAGCAAAGGAGCTGTCCAAACGGTTGAGATTATACACCGGCTCCCAGTTCTACTCCTCTTCACCCCCCCCGGGGAGCTGGCTGTTGCCCTGTGGTGTGGGCTCTGCAGTATAAAGCTTATACTCCAGATCCTGCAGTTGAACTGGCTCTGCAGTATAAGCCAGGCTTTGTAATGGTTGCATGGTCACATTTTAACTTTTTAACATCCCTAATAAGCATAACATTCTTTATGTTGTATAATTTGGCAATACTGTCAAGAAACTTTGGATTTTCCGTAGAATTTTGTTAAAGATACATAACTACATTGTACTTGTCAGGAGAAAGGTGGAAGTCTTGGTAGGTAGGTAGAGGACATTTTGGAGCTTCGGACGTTTGTGGAAAATATGGCAGGATGTTTGAAATTAGACGTATGTTACTGACAAAATAATTGGAAGTGAAATAGTTGTCCATGTCCATAATTAAATTATACTGTAGTTAATTATGAATTAACATATTTTTTAGAGCTATTATTTTAGTTTGTGCACATTTTCAGGAAGACTGCATTCTCATTGATTCCCTCAGTGTATGTTAGGAAGATTTTCATTTGATAAATAGATTATTTTAAAATTAAATCTTAAATTTTGTTCAATTCTGCAGGATGTGGATTTGTTGCTGGGATATTCTAAAATAAATATGATCCTGCTTCTGACTAGAACTAACAGAATAATAAGATGGCAAGTCACTCCCTTCTCCTTCACATGCATGCAGCACTTCATTCAACTCTTGGGCTAATGATTATATTTAGCTGCAGTGGCTCCCCAAAAGCTGCAGAAAATAAAATTGAATAATTTTGTTTCCATGGGTGAGAGGTGGGAGATACTGAGCATGAGGGATGTAAAATCCCATTTAATTAGTTATCCACTTAAACTTTAAGTTTTACCTGTTAACTGATTAAATGGGAGTGGGCAGGCTGGAGTAAACCCTGCCTGCGGTGGGGAGGCTGCTCTAGCCCAGCATCAGCGGGCTGGAGTGCTGGGCTGGAGCAGCCTCCCCACCTCCTGTGCCCCATAATGTTAAACCTGTTAACCAATTAAACGGGAGTTTACATCCTTAGTGTGGACATATTCTATCAACAGAGGGAGCAAGTATGAACACCCTCTGGAGATTTTTGTTTTGTTAACTTTTGGGTGTCATAAAAGTTTGTTGAATACATTTTGCCTCATGCTTCAATGGGTGTGATGGCTAACTTTACTTTTAAGGGGGGAGGGAGAGCACTTGAATGCAAATTGCAATGTGTTAGAAATTGCCTTAAGATTTCAATGCTGGTAGCTGGAAAATCTTGTTTTGTAAACTAAGCACATCTTTTGTGGAAGTTATTGAAGTTCAGTATCTAACATCAATGCATTTTTAGAATCACATTTTCTGTTGCCAATAACACATTAACCTCACAATGGTAGAGATGTACATTGATAGGACTGCTGGCTGCAATGGGGAAGAACTCCAATAAATAGGCTTGACAGTTAGATTTTTTTAAAATATTTTGACAATTTTTGCCAATTTAAACTTGTTTTTCTATTTTTATTTTTGCAGTTTGGCAAGTGAGGCTGGGGTTAGGGTTAGAGCAGTGCTACAATGGGGCTACAGGAGCCTATGTGGTTGCGGGGTACAAGACACTGTGTGCCTGCAGGGATTGGGTATTACATCCCTGCAGACATTAAGAGAGCTCATACTACAGCTCCTCTGTCATAGCCACACTTCTGCCACAGGGAGCTTCAGATCCCTTCAGGCGCCAATTGTGGGGAAGGTTACAGTCTTGGCAAGGCACATCACAGATTCCGGGCATTCCAAATAGTGAGAGAGAGAGTGAGTCTGTGACAGCAGAGCAGAGGGCTCCCTGTGCTGCTGCAGGAGCGATTCAGCACCTTGTGGCCTCATCCTCAGGCAGGACTTCCTCTTCTCCTTGCAGTCCTAGCCAGAGGTCTCTGCTTTGTCCCATCAGGACTGCATCCTCCCCTCATGCCGTATGCCTGCAAGAATCAAGTTTATAGGCTCTGAGGCAACACAGGGATCTCTCTGCACCTCTTACGCCAGTTTTTGCTATCATTTTCAGTGTGCCAGCTAAAATGGATGTTTACTGACAATTATCAATTAAATCCTATGCAGCATACCTGTAAATTACCAATTGTGTGACCAAACAATCTTCTTTTTGTAAGTAGCAAAGTTTTGAAGAAGTGTTTACCAATTTTGAATACATATAATTCACTTGTGCCTAATTTTCAGAAGTTTGGAACATCTGCAGTTTCCATCAATGTTAGTGTGAAGTAGGGATGTGAATGAGTAGTCGACTAGTTGACAAACCGATAAGCCTAGGTTTACTGGTAAATCTAGTCAACTACTTGTGTTTCCCCTCCCTCTCGCCTTGCTGCCTCTGTATCCCCTAGCAGAGGCAGCAGGAAAATGTTTCCCCTAGCAGAGGCAGCAGGGCGGAAGCAGGAGCTGGTGCTGGGGGGAGCTGCTTAAAAGCCAGTTTCCACCAGTACTGGCTCCACAGTACTGCCTGTCACCCTATCAGAGGCAGAAGTGTTGGGTGGGAGGCCAGGGAGGGCGGAGGCTGCTGCGAAGCAGAACCTGTCTGTGGGGATCCTGAGCTGCTCATGGACAGAAGCTCCTCTGCATCCCGCAGAGCAGCCTCTGCCCATGGAAGCCGAGGCTGAGGCTGCTGCCACTATGCCTCTGATACAGAGGCAGCAGCATGGGGCAGCAGGGAAGCTGGTCTGCACAGGGAGCTGTTTTTTTAAACCGGCTCCCTCTTGGCGCTTTGTGCTGCTGCCTCTGATAGAGAGGCAGCAGCATGGGTTTAGCAGGGGGCTCCCCAGGAGTGGGGGCAGAGCACACTAGCTGCCAGCCCCGCCCCTGGGGACTATAGAATAGCCTGCTAACTGCTAAAAATTCATGTGGTTATTCAACTGTTCCATTACTCGATAACTAACATCCCTAGTGAGAAGAATATTTCCATATCACCCTTGAAAATCAGGCAGAGAATGTGTCAAACTGAGCACCCTCACATGAAATATGAAGTTAATGAATGTGTATAAAAAATGTTTCCCCTAGCAAATTTAGGCACGTTATTAGTTGAGGCACTCATTTGTATGAACAATTAACAGCAGATGAAATATTTAAAATGTAACTTATTTTAATATGTAGTCGTCATTTGTAGTCTTGGGTCTTACTTTGCTCATTCTAACTTCTCTTGGAAATTGTCTCCTTCCTTTTGGTCATGATGCATAGATTTCTGGGAGCTCCGGATCACTGTTTTTTATCAAAAGAATTGTTCTCTGAGGGGCTTAATGTTGTGTTCACATATTGTCAAAATAATCTATTGTGCATTTAGTTATTGTAGTTTGATTTGGGATTGTAAAGGTCAGAATTTGACAGTGTGAAAATGTAAGGACTTACCTGAGAGCATAGAGCTAGAAATCACAATAGATCAGTGGATTGTATCTTGCTAAAGGTGCTGGTGGTTCTCTGACTTTGAAAATGTCCCGCAGTGCAGGAGGAGAATAAAAAGGATCAGAATGCTTTTGTGTTTATGATGGGAGTGTTTTAATTGTGTAAACTCTGTGTAACGAAGCATCCCTGCTTACAGGTGATCCATCATTCTACCAGTTAGGTTGTCGGCATCACATTCTTGAATCCTGATGTTATTCCTCCCCACTACAACTGTGTACACAGGCACTAATGATTTATTTTTTTTATCAATCTGCAATGATTCCATTCACCTTCATTTCTAAGGAAATGGAGTTGGACATATGTCTGTTTAAAAAAAAAAAAAAAAAAAATCAGTCCCACAATGTTGAGCAATTATCACCATAAAAAAATCTCTCCGCAGCATGAGAAGTAGAGTACTGTGTATCTTGTTCTCCATGTTTGCTCTTCTATGCGTAGGTTTCCTGGCATTTTTAATGAGATATAAGAGTATACTCACCACCATCCTAAAATTTACAATGTAGCACAAACTAATTAATATGAAAGATTTCACCAACCGATCTATTAAATTATACGCGTATTATTTCAGGCCACAAAATGGTTTCTGAACAAAAACCTTCTGGAAATGTTTTAGGTAGGAGCTCTTCTCCCCAGAAGTGAAGGGAAAAGTTTGCTTCCATTTAATCTATTAAAATTAAACTTAAAAATCAATGGCATTTTGTTGCCATTTGGAATGAGGCCTTGTCAGGATGGATGAGAGAATTTATTATAGCAGATGAATAAAAACTATGGAGTAACAATGATTCTTGCTTGACTAGTTCCTGAAAGATACCACTGTTGTGTTTCTGCTCATTTTATTTGTACCTTGCAAAATGTCAGGATAACAGAATTCTTGTTTTTACTTTGCTCTTTGGTTTATATTATTTATTTACTGTCCATCTTGTTGTGCCAATCAGGTTCACTTGTGTTCCATTTTGAATGCCAGGCAGCAAACTGAAAGGAAGGAATCTTGGTGGGAAATGTCATGTGTGACCATTAAGGGTAAGTTCTTTTTGGTTTCTGATTTTTGTTTATTCAGTCCCAGAGGGTTTTGGCTTTTCTGGAGATGCTGTAGGGTAGGGCCTTCAAATATGGCCCATGGGCCGAATCCGGCCCACCAAGCTACTGGATCTGGCCTGTGGGTTCAGTGGGAGCTTTAGTCAGGCTCCCTGTTTGCCCCACCCATGTATGCCACTCAGAATAACTAACTCTCATGCTGTCCGTCAATTGCTGTGGGCCTGGGAGGAGGAGAGGAGAGGCCTAATGCTCTGCACCCGCACAATCTTGCAGCTCCCATTGGTTGGTTTCCAAGCCCCTGCATCTCCTCCTGCACCACAGTTGCCTGCTCTAGGTCACAGCCCACTCTCAAAAATTCCAGGGCTTTTGTCAAGGCTGTTCCTCACACTCCTTTGAGTGCAGGAGGTAGGAGACTGCAAGAGACCTTAAAATACCCTGCCAATAAAGGCTTCTGCTTAAAAACTCTCCAAGGTCACCGGTTCCCTGACCTTGGGTGGTACACTGCCACCTCTCAAATGCAAAAACTGATTTGAAAACCCAGGAAAACTCAGCCGTTGGGAATTTCTTCCTGTGGAGTACTCTCAAGTGCTTTAACCCTCCTTCAAGAGAGAGCTTGAAAACAAGCTGTAAGGCTATGTCTGGACTACATTACTCTTTCGAAAGAGGAATATAAACGAGGCAACTCGAAAGTGCAAATGAAGCAGCGATTTAAATATCTCGCACTTCATTTGCATACTCGCATCCAAGCACTTTTTTGAGAAAGGGGTCGTCAAAAGTGAAAGCGCAGTCTAGACGCGGTTCTTTCGGAAAAACAAACAAACAAACCCTTTTTCGAAAGAACTCGTACACCGGAAAAAATGAGTACGGGTTCTTTCGAAAAAGGGTTTTTCCCCAAAGAACCGCATCTAGACTGCACTTTCACTTTCGACAGACCCTTTTTCGAAAAAGTGCTCAGATGCAAATATGCAAATGAAGTATGGGATATTTAAATCCTCGTTTCATTTGCACTTTCAAGTTGCCTCATTTATATTCCTCTTTCAAAAGAGGAATGTAGTTTAGATGTGCCCTAATTACTTAATAGCTGACCTCTCAGTCTCAGGCACAGGTATGTAGAACCTCCTGCCTTCTAGGACACAGAAATCAAATCTGGGGGTACGTCTAGACTACCGCGTTTTGTCGACGGAAGTTTTGTCGACAGATACTGTCGACAAAACTTTCGTCGACAAAGAGCGTCCAGACACATTGAGTTCTGTCGACAAAGCAAGCTGCTTTGTCGACAGAACTCCGTAGTCTGGACGCAGTGTTACAGGCAATAACACCTTCTGTCGACAGAGATCTGTCGACAGAAGGTGTTATGCCTCGTAAAATGAGGTATACCAGCGTCGACAAAATGCTGAGTTTTGTCGACGTTATGTCGACAGAACTCAGCGGTAGTGTAGACGCTGGTATAGTTTTGTCGACAAAAGTCCACTTTTGTCGACAAAACTAGGTAGTCTAGACACACCCATAGTCTTAAAAAGGTGAGTTTATTAACAAAATAAGACATATTTGATTGCTAGCGGTAACTCTTACAGGCAGTTTAATTAACTGAATGGCTGGGATGTCCAGAAAAGGGTAGTACCCCAGATGTTAGATAACGTTTATTTTAGTAATCATGTAGCTACAAAAAAAATTTATTGGTTACACAATTATTAAAATACTCCCCGGGGCGAGGCTGGCAGCCAGTGTGCTCCGTCTCCACTCCTAGGGAGCCCCTGCCTCCTCATGCTGCTGTATTGGAGGCAGCAGCGTGGGGCTGCAGCAACCTGTATATACCGGGGAAGCCAAGCTCCCCATCAATGGGGTACTGTGGCATCCCTCCTGTTCTCCCCCTCATCCTCCTGCCTCTATATCAAAGGCAGCAGAGTGGGGACGGACAAGTGGCTATGGGGGATCCAGTGATCTGGGGAGCTGGCTGGTAAGCTGGCTTCCTCCACGTACTGGCTCCCAGCTGCACCCCAACGCTGCTGCCTCTGTGAGAGGCAGTGAGGCAGGGCAGGTGGCGCTGTTGGAACCAGCACATGTGGAAAGCCGACTCTCCACAGGCACCAGCTCCCACCTCCCTTCACCTTGCTACCTTTGATACAGAGGCAACATGGGGGTGGTGCATGTAGTCATTTAAATCAATGTTTCTCAACCTTTTTTTTATAAAGTACCCCTTTTTAAAAAAAAATTAAGTACCTCCAGTACCTACAGTTTTCAGACACACACAATTTTTTTTCTACAGTTGCAACATGTTTGTTTAAACAATTTAATCATAGCCGGGCGAGTGGTGACATTTTTGGGTATAAAAAGTACAAAAATAATAAAGCGCTGTAAAACTTAAAAATTCAGTTTTCTCCAAATTTCAGTTGTTTTGACGTATCCCCCAGACTTCTCTTGAGTACCCTTAAAGTTACTCGTACCACTGGTAAAGAAACACTGATTTAGATTAACTGATAAACTCAGGCTATCTGTTAATTGTTTAAACAACTGTATGATAACATTCCTACATTCATCACAGCTTTGATTTAATTTTTGCCTCTTGCAGTGAGGAAAGATGGTCTTGTGGGTAAGGCATAGAACGGAGAGGCTAGGTCTACACTGTAGTCTCCTCTCCCCCTCACCCGAAAAAGCTACGCAAAATGCGCTCTGCAATTTGCATAGCTGTTTCCAATTGCTTTTCCAGAAGAGGCTTTTCCGCCATTTGGCCTTGTCCAGACAGGGCCAAAAGGCAGAAAGGCCTCCTCTTTCGGAGGAGCCCTTATTCCTCGTAGAACGAGGTATACAGAGCTCCCCAAAAGAATGCTTTTGCTCTTACTAAAAAAAGTGGAGTACCCTCAAGCTCTCTAGCCTTCCTACAAAAGAGAGTTTGAAAACAATCTGTAATTGTTTAATAGCTCCCTGTGACGTTTCAAAGCAGCAGCACCACCACATGGAGCCCAGGATCAGTGGGGAAATCCCCAGCTTGACCCCGTGCTCCATGCGATGCTGCTGCTTTGAAACGCTGCATATAGGCTGGGGAGTCCCCAGATGGCCTGGGCTACATGCGGGGTTTCAAAGCTGCAGCACCATGTGGAGCTCAGGGTTTGGCCTCAAGCTCCACACAGTGCTGCCGCTTTGAAGCATCCCTTCTCTTTCTTCCTCCCACCCCCACCGGTGCCTCTTTCTGATAGAGGCAGCAAGAGGCAGGGAAGAGACTAGTGTCGACTATGTGATAAGCATTTGCTTATTGAATAGTCAACTAGTGACTAGTGTCGACTATGCGATAAGCATTTGCTTATTGAATAGTCAACTAGTCATTCACATCCCTGCTGTGCAGGGGAACCCTGAGCCTCATAGGCTGGAGTCAGGCAAGCCTGGAACTAGATTTGGCCCCTGGGCCTGAAGTTCACCACCCCTGGTTTAAAACAAAGACTTCATTTCACACTGCCACTATGATCAGTGATGCCAAGGAAGAGCTGCTGGTGTAGAATCATGGTATAGGAGTCTGTTCACTCTTGAATTAACAAAGAAAAGTAAGTGGACTCAGGAAAAGAACCTAACATCTTTGATCTAACAACCATTCTGAATACCTTTCTTCACTGGTAGTATTCATACTCTTGTATATTGTGGTTAATTAGCTGCTGTTAATCCTGGTTCATGGTACCTGATTGTTTTGAAATTGTGGCCCAATACGCAGTCAAGCTACACTGTGTGTATTCTTTTCCCAGCATTACATTTACAACTACAGTATGTTTCTATGTTACAATTAAGAAATCCACATAGCTACCTACCACATTCCCAACAATGTGATATTTGTTGCTGGACACACTGTTTTTGTGTGAGCAAGTAAGTTTTTAATTCAGTATATCTGTAGTGGCTAGCCTAGTGACTTCTGAAATGAGAACTCTAAGAAATTTAAGTCTAGGTATCATTGCAGTTTGTGCAACATCCTTATGTTGTATACATTGAAATCAGATTTTGAAGAAGTGAACTTTTGACCATTTTAATTTTGAGTTAATTTCATTCTGTTGTTCCTTCTGTTTTTCCTTTTGTGTTTTCAGGGCTTTTCCTGGCATCCCAGAAGGAAGTTGTCCTGTTACTTTTTCTTAGAAACTGATCATAAACCGTGAAGTGTGAATGCTCTACTACTGATGAAGAAAAGTCTTTTCCTTAAGATCTCTTATCTTTCTGTTTCAACTTCTTAAACCAACATTTGATGTATGGAGCCTTCACTAGCTGGCTTCCCCCCCATAGGAGCACACAGCAAGCATTTTACCAACCCTTACAAGTGAAATAATTGTTTTGATGTTTTCCTGAAGAGATGTCTTCAGAGTTTTTGAACTCAGTTTGCGCCCTAAAGAAAATTCTTGCAAGCATGTCCACACAGAAACCATTCTTCTTGAACGGCATCTCCTTTCTGCATCTTAGAAGGGTAATGTCTTCTCTCTCTCTGCCCTATTGGAGAACCTTGTAAATAGATAAATGCGTATGGTGTTGTGCCAAGCTGTTTCAACATGTGTGAAAGGTTGCAGCAAGAGAACCAGAACACATTTCCACCCTGAAACAAGTAACAGACTTAAAAAACCTCACAATCCTGGAAAATCCAATAACAAGGATGTCCTAATCCAGAACAAAGAACGGACTTTGTAGATAAATGTCTTAATGTCGACCTCGTGAAGCAACTAATGCACAGAAACAAATACAGAATTACCTTTCCCATCATGTCTGAATGAATCATTACATTCTGTGATCAAAAACATCTGCATGTGTAAATCCACACAACCAGTGAATGTGAAGAGCTTTTACCAGGAAAGAGTTGCTCTGCATTGCCTCTTTTGTAGCAAGCCCCTTCCCTAAGAAGGTGAATCTTTGAGCAACTCTAATGCTATTGGTGGTCCTATAGTGTTGGGTTTACATTGTACCTCCAGTCTTGTCCAGCAGCTTCATCAACAAAAGGAACAAAAAAACTCTATAATCCAAGAGATCGGACAGAACTTTTTTAAAAAAGGAACTTACCTCCAGTGGAATGAGAGAGGCTACAAGTGTAATGCTCCAACTCATCCACTCCGTGTCCTAGGTGCGGTTTGAGTTCATACAGCTGATGGAGTTGTTTAAGTCTCTTTTGGCTACTGGCATATTTGGATGGACACTCTTCCAGGGTATAGACACTAGGAGGTATGATAGAGAAAGAAACAAGTTCAGAAAGAGAGCAGAAATGCTGAAGGAAGTGTGCTCTTTTTCTGGCTCCTCCTATATCTACATCCCAAACTAAGGAGGAGATCATGGTTCTCACACGTTAACGCCAGATTCTTTCTCTCCCATATCACTTTGGACTTATACAGGATATTTTCCTTCCATTTGAGAGAGAGAGAAACTTTGTTGTTTAGTTGTTCCCTGCAGTGTCAGTCTGTATGCTCAATGAGGTTTCTTGATGGAAAGGCCATAATTGGCTTATCTGTTTTCTTTTACTTGAACCTGGAGCTCTTAGTAGTGCATCTTATTCCATGAATGTGTTGAAATGAATTTAACAAATGTGATTTGCTGATTTAAAAAAAAAATAATTACAAATCTGGATTTTAAAAAAGGGGAGTAGGCTCTGTTCATATTATTTTTTTTATTTTCTTTTAGAAAACCATTGAAGAGATCCAAGCAGCCTGAAAAATGGCTTTAAAAAAAACAGCCGAAATTTTTCTCAGCTCCTGATGATGGTAGCAAGAACAACATTTTGTGACTGGTAGAGAAGGGTAAGGAGTTATAAAAAGATGGGGAAGAGAGAATCTCTAAAGAAACTCTCTTTCTGATGTCTCCCTATCAGTAGTAGAAGTTGAAGGGGAACAAATTCTGGGATTGAACAACTCCATGCATTGGTTTTGGTTTTGTTCTTCACTCCTGAGAATAAAGTGTAGAGCCACAGTGAACATGTGTTGTGACAGTAAGATTTAATTATGTCTTTTCCTATTTTGTGCTCTCTTGAAGAAAAAATCAGTCTCACTGACTTGGGAATATTGAGCTATACATTTCATACTTAAAATAACATTAGAAGTAGTGGCATCAGAATATAAAAAGCACCAATGCCCCACAATCAGTTGCCTTTATCTGTTCACTTGGAAAAATGATTATATTAGTTATGGCCAGGCTGGTTGGCTGGTTTCCTTTAAGTACATTGCATTCCTTTGTCAAACAGAATTTAGATTTTTGAGTGTTAAAGGCAACTGGAAAAATACGTTCTCTTTTAGATCCTCCTTATTGAAGTCAATGGGATTTGGAATTGATTTCAGTAGAGGCAGGATCAGATTGTTAATGGTGGACTTACCTGCAGTCAGTGTCACAAGTTTAAATGTGATTAGAAGGTATCCAATATGGCAAATATTTTATCTTAAACCTGTGATTTCTTCTTTTCACTTGCCTGGCTCCTGTTTGTCGTCCTACTGATGTTCCTACTTGAAGCTGTTTCTAGCACAGCCTGATTGCAAATTGATTTGGGAGCAGGAGTGTATCTTTGTTTTTCATATACTGTAAAAGGCAGAGAATGGACTCTGGAGACAGTGGAGGTACTTTAGCCCACTTTGCCACATATATAGAAATAATTGTCTCTAAGCTCTGCCCCATAACAAGAAATGGCAACAAATGTTGACTTTCCCTGCTTACCCCGAACATATAATAGCCACTTGATTAATTTTTACGATAAAATTATAGTAGGGCTAATGTTCCGTGGCTGTCACAGGAGTAGCTTCAATTGTGTAAGCCCAAAAGACCCCACTGGAGCATGCTTTCTGCCAGCTTTTTTATGAAATTGCTGTGCTAGGCAATACTGCCTCAGCTTTTAGACTTTACTCTTTGCTCCGCTTCTGTTTCTCAATGTTGGTTGGAAAATTTCCTGTATGAAAGGTTAAACAAATAAATATGGGGCATGTGCAATAGATATATATATACATATATATATTTTAATACTTGTGGACAAAATGATGTTACAAGTTGTTTGAAAACAACAAAATCACCAATGTCTTCCATTTTGAGATGTGTATAGTTCCATAAGCATTAGTGCTTTGTAGCAAACTGTAGTGCCATGTTAGGATCAGTGCATGAGCCTAGTAGTATTTTTACAATTTCAGAGTGGCAAATTATTAATGATAATAAACAATAACGTAACTAACAGTAGAAAGCAGACAGTAAAAAATGTTATGAACATGGTCTAAAGATGCAGTATCCTTAAGCAGTGGTAGTGACAATGCTATCTTTGGAAACAGAATTTATTAACTTGATGGGATTTGTGAAATAATAGCTGACTTTTTTTGGTAAAATCTATCTAAGCTAAACAGTAGACGGTGCGCATCCAAATTAATCATCTCTGAGTCCATATAAGGTGAACCGCAAGACAAATCCTGGATATACACCATATTGGCAATGTCATTTGTTTCCTTTTAGTCTTAGAGAAACGCCCTAAACTGTTCTTGCAAATACTCTTCATATAGACAACTTCAATACCACCTTCCCTCCCATCCACTATATAGAAGCTGAAGAGCCACTTAGTGTTTTTTAGCAGCTCGACTACCTTTTCATATAGGTATAATTAAGGAGCTCTGCCAGTTATTGAGCAAAGTAATATTTTGCAAGAAATAACTCTATTTAAAGAAATTACATGATGCTAATGCTAATTAGTAAAACTAGTTAAATTGTTTTGGGATGCTGTCTACAGATTTTGTCAATTTTGTGTGCTTAGAATCTTAAATTATAGATTGACACTTCCAGTACTTTCCCTAGCTATCTAATCTCTTTTTAACTACATGGCAATTTTTTCTCTCTTCACAATGCACCCTCTCTATTTTCTGACAATGGAAAATTGAGCTAAGTGAAATCCAAACGGCTTAACATTAAACATAAGATTGTCATGAAAGTCATAGACTCCATGACTTTCAGAGATATGTGACATTTTTCCTTCACCCTTGTGCCTGGGGTGGTAGGGCCAGGGCCACTGTAGGCAGTGGGGGACCCACAGCTCTGAGCCACTATGGATGGAGGCAACCTGTAGATGTCAGCAACTGTCAGTAATGGGGTCCCAGAGTTCAGATGCTGGTACTAAATTTGTCAGCCACTGCAGGCAAAAGAGGCCCTGGAGCTGTCAGTCCCAGTAGGTGCTCGAACTCCTTCAACTTCCAGCAGCAAGGCTAGGGCTTCAGTTGTCTCCCAGTCAGCCCCTTCCCGCCCATTATTTCGAGTAAAAGTCACAGAGAGGTTATGGGCTTCCATGAATTGTTATCACCTACAACCTGTCCCTGACATTTACTAAAAATAACTGAGACAAAATCTTAACTTGATCACTTTCTCAAACAGGCAGTTTAGGCTTTTCAAGCAAGAGATGGAAACAGTTCATCCCAAGTTTGCAACAATCTGTGGATGAAAGGCATCTGATTTCCTGGTATAGCTTTTTAATTGCTGTCACTATTATTTTTCACCTGCCTCTGTTTAAAAAAGAACAAAATCTGCTGTTGCTAAGCAAGGATACTGCATCTTTTTCTTGAGCCCTGCCTGTAAATGGCCACCTGGGGAAAAATGAGTAGCTTGGGTTTCTGAGTTGATCTAGATTAATTAAATGGGCAAAATGTACTGAGATACAAAACCAGTGATTCTTGCAGAGTTAATTATGTAATAAAAAACAGAGTCTCTGCATATTCCGTCTTTCCATGTATATTGGGCAGGTGGGCTGTTTACAGTAGAGCTCTGGAGAACTGTGCTCAAATCTAGTTCAGTTCTGAACAAAAATAACTATACCATTGAATCAAGTAGTTTAGTGCTTGGGGGAATCAATTGATAAAAATACCTCTGAAACTGGAATGCAAAATAGCACAGTATGTAGGGGAAAATATCCCTGATGCAAACAAAGCCATAAAAAGATTTAATAAAACTAGAATTTTAGTAGCAATAACTGTTTTGCATGTAATAGTAACTAACTTGCATTAGCAAGATTGTACCGTAGAATAAGTGGTAATAACCAAATAAGTTTGTGGTCTGTGCTGCAGGGAGTTGCATGAAGAGAACAGTGTCTCTTTTTAAGAAGATGGAAGAATTTTTCTTACTATTCTCCTCCTTTGAGGGAAATGGCACTTAAATACTATAGTGATGAGACTTGTATCAAACCTGGATAGCTGTAGGTCATGTATCTAAATTGGTGCATGTAGGGGAAGAGTGACTGGTTTCCCTATTGCTTGTTTTGTAGAGTAGCATGTGCAGTGCCTCTGAGAGGAAAGTGCTGAGATGTGAAGAAGACCCATTCCCCACAGTTGGAAAGCATGATTCAAAGCTTTTTATTGAGAGAGAGAGTTTTGTTTTTATAAAGAAAAAACAAGTAGAAATGTGACGTGTCCTAAAAAGAAAGCATTGCAAAATGTTGACATGCTAAATATTTTTTTCTGCAGGGACAGAATTGCAGGATTTCTCTTTCAAAAGACTATCCTACTTCCAATTTTAAGTACAAATCAGCCATATGTTTCCATTTAAGATTAAAACTGTCTTCTGTTCACCGTTTTCAGTTTTGCAAAGCCAGTTGCAGTAGATTCTCAGAGGCAGATTGATCTGCTTACTGTGGCCTTTGTCCCTGGCAACTTTTGACGACCTTTAAAAGAACCTATGGAGTTTTAAAATACAACCCACAGTCAACCTTGTCTTCGATACATATGTGTAGCCTGCCGAGAGTATACAAGGTAGCATGCCATTTTCTGTCCTGAATTGAATTATTAAACCAAAGTGTGTATTGATCCATGTGGTGACTTAATCTCTTTGATCACAATGGAATATTGCATCTGTAGTCTCTGCAAGTGGCTGCACTTTGCTTCATTATTTAGTAAACTAGGTGGGGCCATTTGTCCCCTAGCAAGTTAATAATATGACCCTCTGTTGGGGCAAAATGTAGGTACCCTTACTCTAATGTAACCAAGATCAGTGTTTGGATAAGTAGCTAAGTTTAGTAAGTAGGGGCATATTCAGTAGTACTCTTGTACATGAAAACCTGTGATCTGAAAGATGGTGGGTAAAATAAATTCCGGGCATTAAATTATTATTAAAGCAGGAAGCATACCAAGAGTAAACCTTAACTTGATCATATTATTGACCTCTAGATGGTATTAGATGAGCCTTATATACTTACAAAAATCTACTTGCCAGTCTTTTACTATAATACAGGCAGTCCTCAGACTTACAACACAATTACTTCCTTACAGTTGCGCTGTAAGTTGGAACATTGTAACTTAGACTCGCAGTATACTTCACTGGAGACTAAGCATTGTAAAATCAAAACCTATAGTCAGAAGTCGAATTAGGGTATCAGTCTAGAAGTGTTGTGTTGTTTGAGTTAAGTGAAATGTCAAAAGGCTGAGGACTACCTGTAATGAAAACACTATCTTGCTCACTTCTCCAGAATATATACTTTTCCTAGCTGAGTAGAGTTTTGCAAGACTGTGTTACAGTTAAAATGAAAACCTGCAAGCCTATGGTAGCCATGAAGGCTATTTGATTGTTGGTGCCAATGCAGTTTTTCTCGTGTACTATTCTCCTGGGGGTGACTACATTTCAAAAGACTGCTCACAACAGCAGTGTCAGAGATCCTGCTTCCCTAAAGCCACTGAGCAGTGGCATGGTATCTTTTTTTTTTCTCTCCCAAACTCTTGATTTCCTTGCTTGAAAAACAAAGCAGGAACTTCAGACAATATGATGGTTGTCAAGTAGTGCCATTCTAAAACTAGGTCTATGCAGTACTAGGTCTACTTTAGATCATGTGTGTGTGGACTGTGCAGAAACTTATGGTCTGCTTTTTTTTTTGTTTATTGGTGCTGTTGGAGAAGTTCTAGCCAGTACTTATGCTGTGAATTTTATTTCTTGTTCAGTACAGCTGGCTGGATACGATCTTTTCAGCACTAAGGAATTCTTGTGGCAAGTTTTTGGGGATAGTAGGACACTGCTATTTTAAACAGAGCTTACCTTGACAGCAGAACTGGTTGTGAGTTTTATGGAAGTACTACTCAATAGTAATGGGAGAACAGAACCTTTTCCTGAGGAAGTTTGTCAGTACTCTTAAAGACCCCCCTTTTCCCTGCATTGCAGTGACCATTCTTTTAAGCCACTAATCTAGACTGGCTGAGATTTCCTTCCAAGCCCATTTGAGCAGCTCTTTACTAGAGGAGAGGGCTACCTGTTGGGCAATTCAGGGTATAGCCATTCCTCCCAGAGGTTCAGCATCTTGTCTCCACAGTATGCCCAGGGTAGGGTACCAAGGGCCAGCAATAGAACCTGGGTGTTTCAAATAGCGGTGGAGAATGCTATCTATGGAGCCCTTCCCCCTGCACCACTTTTTTCCTGAAGTTAGACTTCAAAATAATGCAAATTCATTAGTAAAGGACAGGTCTGTCACTAAACCTATGTACCAAGCACTCACAGTGCACTCATTCTCTTAAGGCTTACCTTTTATCTTGACTGTCAGATGTTCTGTCTTTACCATAGGTCCTGTGTAAATTCTGTTTTCTCACCAAACTCTGTGTTTGCGGGGCAACTAAGAGGATGTTTGTATGTGAAGCCCTAGGAGCAAAAAACTGCATGGACAAACTGAGGAAGAGTGGCACAGGCCCATAAATCAAGTCTTATAGAGCTAGTATTCTAATTATGCATGATTCAAAATGTCTAGTGTTACATAGTTATTACCAGTAAATTCAGATATGCATTTATTCATAATGAAGCAATAGGAACTAATATACCAATAGCTTGAATTTACTGCTTTGATTCTCAAATTACGTTTTTAGAAAACGCACTGCCTCTGTAGACAAAGGGGCAGATTGTACAAATAGGGACAGAAGAAGCATGGCACCAAAACTGCATATCAGGAACAAGGATCAGCAGGACTCGCCTTTTTAACCTCTTGCCTGGTTCACATTAATGCCCTGAGCATGTAAAAAACAGGGTATGAACTAAGCATGTTTAGTGGCGAGATAAGGTTTCTCAGCTGCTGCAATTGTAGCAAATGGAAAGGTGCAGAGTTTCACAGGGTGTGGGGAGGGTTAAGGGTGAAATCTATAAAAAATGACTCGTAAACTTGAGTGTAGGATTTGCCTGATAACAGGTGAAAGAGGTCTTGACTTAGTGAGGTACATTCTTTGAAGGGGGTTGAAATCAATAAGCACAGTCCATGTATTTCAGGTGTTGAATAGCTTTTTAATAGTATTTTCAGGTAATTCTTAGCCACAGAGGCTGCTGTACTGAAGCATACTGGTATGAATGAGCAGTTATGGCACCATGTAGGAATGAACCTGAAACATTTGACAAACTTGTGTTTTTATTTTGTTGAGTTCTGACTAAAATTTTTTTTTTTCAAAAGTGATGAGATTTCCTCATTGGGGGTCCTGTCGTGGCAACACAGGTGACAATGTATTTTTGTTCTTGATTTCACTGTTTTTGTTTTTTTTTAAACCTAGTGAACTTGATATGAAGGGACTTATGGAAATTAGGTGCCATCTATTTGTAAACTTTCACTGTGTTTTCTGTAAAGAATATATCTTGGAACCACTGTGTGGGTGTTTGGGGAAAATTTCTGCTGGGAATGTAATGTGGTGTGTCTTCAGCAGGGCATAAGAACTAATGCTGCTTTAACTTGTCTAGAGTATGCAAAACTCATAGCTCTTAGACTGAGACAATTAACCTGCATGATATCTTCTGGCTAAATCTAACTTTGGAGGAGGACCTAGTTTATGTGAAAACCCCTCTGTCAGAGATTCCCTCCTCTTTCTTTAAAGAAACAAAATGGGGCAAGAGGGTTTATTGGTCAAGTTAATTCCTATCTACATTCTTAGCCATTAATACAAGTCTTATCCCCAAGACCACCCACAATGCAGAGTTGGTGTGGGGGCCATATTTTTTTATTCTTTCTTTAGATATATAGTAGTTGCCAAATGAAAAAAAAAAAAGAATATTAAAGTTTAATCAGTGAAGACTATTTTATAGTATCGGAATATATATAGTTGAAATTTTTCCTTTGGCCAACTTCCATTAGCAAAAATCTGGTTAACATGTAATCAAGTGATCAACCAAGCTACTAAAAGCCTCTACTGGGCATTATTCAGGACTACTCTTCAGTTTAAAATCCCACATTGTTCCCCTCCTTCCCCCCCCTCCCAGTAGAGGCCTGGTCTGCACTTAAAATTTAGGTGAACATAGCTACAGCACTCAGGGTGTGAAAAATCTACATCTCTGAATGTTGCATCTATGCTGCCATAAACCCCCCTATGGCCAGGTACACAGAAGAATTTGTCACCTACATACCGTCACTGGAATTGGAGTTACTACAGTGACAAAACTACTGTGCCACTGTAGTAGTGTAGACATTACCTGAAAGGTAAGCAATTAATGTATTTACAACAAGAAGAAAAAGGACTTAATTGTAAATCTTTTTTGTGAGGAACATGGTGAAAAAGCAAAGGATAAATGTTGAAGGTGTTTTTCAGCTCTTAACAGGAAAGGCAGAGTCCATTTTTTAAAATAAGTTTTGTCATTTAGTTTGGAAACTAAGTTAGAATACTTCCTATACTGAACTTCTTATAGTATGATCACATTTTTATTGTACTTAAAAGACCATGCGCAGAAAAGATTAGTAAAGGAATTTAATGGTAACACTGGGAACCATTTACTCCATTGCACAGTGTGTTTTATATGGTAATAATGAAAATTTCTCCCTGTATATAGCTAAAGTTTTCCAAAAGGCAGCTTGCTTTTATATCTATGCATCTTTGGGGATTTGAAGAAAAGACTTTATTCTTTTGACACTGTAAAGAGGAATTGTTTAAAAATGAACTTGGAAACTCTGCACCTGTATACAATTTTTTTTAGCAATAAAGCAGCACGGGCTGAGAATGCACTGAAACCTCATTGTGTGTCATTTGTTAGATAAAAACAATCTAAATGTTAGTCATGTTTCAGGTGAAACTGGTAGTTCTGCCTAGTAATGTTACCTAACCATTCCCATTATAAGACTGTTTTCAGTGATATAAATGGGTCTGCCAAAACTATAATAATTTAGGTTAAACTTACGTGCCAGAGGTGTGCCTCAGGCTGAATCATTTTGGAAAACCTCAGCCAAAGTGATCCTGCCATTTACAAGAAAACAGGGGAATGTGTACCTTGTTTTGCTCTCATTTAAACAATTATGACTTTTTATTTGAAAATATCTAGCACCAATTTGGCAGGGGGTCTTTGTCTCAGGGATGTGCCTTTTGCCATTCCCACGAAAATCTGCCCAAATCTGGTTAAGTTAAATCATTGTGAAAAACTGGTTTGCTCAGTTTCAGTAGATTTTAGCAGCTACATCTCCTGAAAATTCTGTCCATATTGGGCATCTTCCGCCCATTGTTGAGTAGATCTGGGCTGCATTGGTAATGCTGTACTCACAACACAGAGGGTTCAGATCCCTATCCCATGGCATAGATGGAAATTCCTATTGCTTATCTGTTAACTCGATTGGCAGAGGTTGGTGGGGTAGATGTAAAGGTTCCAACACAGCTGATAATGTGTGTGGGTGTTGGTAGCATGGCACATGATGGACTTAGGAACCTACAAACTACATTAACCTTGCAAAGTTAAATAGGAGTTAGGAAATGCTAGAATTGAGGTTTCCTATACAATATCAATCCATCCCCCTTATCTCTGTGTATACACACAATCTATTACGTGAACACACCCTTTTTTTTGACAGAAGAAAACAAACCCTGTATCCCATTGCACAGGATGGATGTCCTTTGGCAATGAATCAGAATTGTGAAGGAGGCAATTGCTGTAAGACCCCGCCTAATTTGTTGCAGAAGTTGGAAAGCATGTACTGAAAGATAGTAGTTTAGGGGAGCTAAATGCTGCTCTGGAGAATTGTGTTTTGTTCCATTCCTCTGACCTAGGCAAGTCACTTAAACTTCACAGGTGTTTTGTGTAACCAATTGGCAATAGGTAGGTGAAAGGATGTATTTCTGCATGGGAACCCCCTCACATCCATCTCCTTTCTCAGCTGGGGGCTTTCATTTACTGCATCACATAGATGGGCTCCACTACAGTTATTGCTACACTTTTATGTCCAACATTTCATTCAAAGCCAACCAGCATGATGTTGGGCAACTGAATTTATGTACCATATAATCTGTTGAAGAGGAGCAAAATTCTGATCCTTATGCAGAGCTCGTGAGGCTATAAAACTAAAGTATAGTTCAGTGAATACTTATCTTGGCAGTCTTTCTGATGGTGTTATAGAATAGTCAGTTGCAGACTTGTTGAGCAGAATTTTCCATCAAAACACCTGTAAGAGCTGCCTTTCCTTGGGCCTTCTGCAGATAGACTTTTTTTGCCTCATTTTCCAATACTAGGTATCATCCACTGTCAATGTGGTGGAACATGGTTGCAACTCTAGGAGCCCCCTCTTTGTCTTTTAGATCTCTTGTCCACCTTTCCCATAACTCTATTGATTCACAAAGCCCTACTCAAACTGAAATGGAATAAGCGACCATTTTCATAGCCCTGATGAGTTGGACAGGTATGACTCCCAATCCTGACTCATCAGGCAACATATCTGCCTCTTTGCTCCTCTTTTGACAGCATCCCAACCTATTGTCCCTGCATCTCAGGGCTTGGTTCCTTGATGGTTCTTAGGCCTAAAGCATGGATGTTCTTCCAAAGACCAGGTCAGTGCTATTAGAAGACTTACCACACAAAGGACTTAGCTGAAAGTGCTTCCACAGTGTACCCAGTGCTTCATATAACCCACTAGTTCTCCCTTGATATGCATCCTCAGCCATCTACTAAATCTAGAATTGTCCCCGGGCTTGATCTTGGTTCATTTAGCTGTCATTGCTGCACTGCAATTGACTAGTCAGTTGAGGGTTTTATAGTCTACAACTGCAACGTTTTTAAAGGCCTCCTTAATCTGTTGCCTTCAGTGTGAGACCTTACCCCAACCTGGGACCTCAATGCCTTATCCATTAAAGCAGGGCTACTCAATATATGGCCCACAGTGCGGTTTGGGTTTACATGGGGCTCAACACATGGCTCACAGGTAGGATCCTTTGAATATGGCCTCCACTGGGAACATGTTCCACAACAGCAAGTCAATATAATGGTCTTCTGTTGATACCTGTTTTAGTAGTTAAATTCCTGGACTGTCATTGCTCATTAAAAGTGTTGGCATATGGGTGGAAATTGTATTTTATTAATATCAGCAGAACTGATTTAAATGGGGCCTGCATGGTGTGTAGTCTTGCCTTAATCTTTGTATTCAGGCCCATCAGTGTGAGAGAAGCTATTTGCATGTATATGCAACCACGCTTAAGTTGCGGCCCTTGGCATGTGCTGTGAGTATTATTGTGGCCCCTGAGGTTTCCAAAGTTGAGTAGCCCTGCATTAAAGGTACATGTACACTGGAATGAAAGACCCAGGCCGTGGCAGATCTAGATCCCTTGACTTGGGCTCATTGGGTTCAGGCTGAAGGCCTAAAAATTGCTGTACAGATGATTGGGCCCAGGAACCCTTCTCCCTCCCCCTTCCAGGGCCCCAGAGCTTGAGTCCAAACATCTTCACTGCAATTTTACAGCTTCCCTTCCCCCAACCTGGGCTAGCCGTGGGTGTGCACTTGTTGCATATATGTGTCCTTTAAGGGCCTCCTTTTGAGCCCAAGGGGCTCAGGTCACTGCTGCATCTGTCCTTCAAGACTTCATTATTGGTGGTGGTCACTTTAGTTGAAGGCTAGTGGAACTAGGAGCTTTCATAATTCCTCCTCCCCCTTAGAGTATTACAGCCAAAGTTACCCACCTTCACTTCTTCCCTACAGTGTCCAGTTCCCCATCACTCAGGACATTAGACTGCTGACCTTTTTCCCAAGTCCCACTTGCTCAGGAAAAAGACCAACTTCCACATCCTGGACTGAAGATGAGCCCAGGCTTCATACCTTCACTGAACTTTTCAGAGTTTCCCCTGTAGGCTTGTTTCCTCCTTTGCTAAGAGGTCACCCATGTCCTCTCAAATGTAGTAGTCCTCAGGTTGAATTTTGGCATGCTAGGAATCCAATAGGGTGTACCCCCCACACCACCTACTGTCTCACTGCTCATTCCACTAGGGCTCAATCTACATACATTGCACTTCTTAGGAATGTATTTATTAAGGACATTTGCAAGGCAGTCACCTGGTTCTCAGTTCACAAGTTTTCATAACATTATGTATTATTCCATGCTGCCAGAGTGGACATGGAGCACGCTGTGAGATTGTCCTGGGGATGGAGGTAGTGTGCAAAACTCTCCCCCAGGGCCTTATGCTCAAAGAAGCACACGGCCCCTGCAGCTGGCTGCTTTGAGCAGTATGTGGAGTGCAGAAGGCAGGGAGCCTGCAAGAGGCTCCCACTGCTGGACTGCGGAATGGTGGTGGGCCAGAGCCAGCTGTTTGGCAGGCTGCAATTTGCCCACCCCTACTTAAGGACCACTGTAGTAGAGCCAGGATGGCATTTAGGCACTTTAAGCACATCCTTCACACAGCATAACCTCTTACACATGATACATGAAAAAAAAAAATCACACTAATGGGAAGGGAATAGTGGTAGTATCACTATTTGCCCATTCTAGACTATACCATAACAATTTTTGTTCAAGTGAAAATAAGGATGATGTGATAACTTTAAATAATCACAGACTCAGTTTTTGGTTCCTTTTGGAGGCCTGAATTACAAATTGTTTCAAAAACAAAACTAAATAAAAATGAAGCTTATGTATAGAAACTGAAAAGGGCCCAGAAAATTCAGTCAGATGTCAAAGGCTGGTAAAAAAAGTATAGGAACCACTGAAATAGAATGATCAATTGTCACTCCATAAAAAGTGATGTATGTGCGTTAACAGTTGCTCTGTACCTGAGGGTCCTTGCAGAGCTTGGCAGGCCCCATCTTGCCTGTCCCTGGCCTAGATCCTAAAATAGGATTCAGTCATCTCCACTGCTGGAGCAACTTCCAAGTAGTATACAGTAACTTTGGACCTTTTATAACAAGTTAAGGATTTCTGAAGTATTTGCTACTAGCAGATGTACCTGATGTTGCTCAGGTCTTTAAGTGAAGTAACGGAATTCTGGGTTTGGAAAATAGAAAGCATGCACACTTTCCTTTTTTAAACAATTGTGTTATTCAAAAATAAAGGAAAAAAATTTGTATTTATAAAAGAAGAAAAGTGCTTCAAACATTCAAATATTTATTTTTTTCTGTCTTTTGCTAGAGTAAAAGGGGGCGGGATGCAGCAGTGAGGGAAAAGAGCTGGGAGGTGCATGACTCAGAGGCTAGGGGAGACAGGATTTACTGCAGCTGCCCATAGTGGTGAAGGGGACCCTGCTCTGCTGGCAGCTTTTCCCAGGGGGCCAGAGGTGCACTCCCCATCTGGTGGCTCTGCTAGGGCTGTAGGGGCCAGTCCCTGCCTCCCCCACCCACCATATAGCCTGTTCCTGGGGAGGGCACACCACACCACCCCTCAAGCCTGTAGCACTGTTCCAGGGCCAGTCCACATTCCTGGCCCTGTCCTCTCCCAGTGGGAGCCTCCCTTGGGGAGGGCTGCACTGCAGTTCCTGGTCCCAGCCTCTCTTGGGTGGGGACCAGGCTGTGCTGCCAGCCTGGGGAGGGGAGGGCGCACAACTGTGGGGCCAGTGGATGAGGGTTCCCCCTGTCTGACACTGTTTGGAGCAGAAGAGCCACTTATCTGCTCTGGTGGCTGACCACGTGCAGTCCCATCTCCAGCTAGCCACTCCCCTGGTGCAGCTGATGCCAGTGGTCACTCTGCAATAATGCTGTCCTCCAAATAGCCCCATTCCAGGCGCTTCCCATTTTCCTAGCATAACCAAATCCTGACCTTGCTTTAAGTTATGATCAGAGGAAGCTGCACGCTCCCTAGCTCTTACTGTTTAGGAGTTCTTGAACAAGACTTGCAGACAGACACTCATTCTAAAATATATTTTTAAAAAAGAACAATTTGTTCTGAGGAGTTCTAGGAGAGGAAATGAAACTGAAATTTGGTAGTATAATCAAAGAGATTGTTTGTAATGTTATTGTAGCTGTGTTGGTCCCTGAATTAGATACAGCAAGGTAGGTCAGGAAATATTAGACAAACTTCTGCTCGTGAAAGGTACAAACTTAAGTTACACTGAACCAAATAAGAGCTCAGTATAGCTTGAAAACTTATCTTCCACTAGCAGAATGTGTCCCAATAAAAGATACAGGCAGTCCCCGGGTTACGTACAAGATAGAGACTGTAGGTTTGTTCTTAAGTTGAATTTGTACGTAAGTCGGAACTGGCATCCAGATTCAGTCGCTGCTGAAACTGACCAGCGGCTGACTACAGGAAGCCTGAGGCAGAGTTTCTCTGCCCCGGGTTTCCTGGAATCAGCTGCTGATCAGTTTCAACAGCAGCTGAATCTGGATGCCTGGGGCAGAGCTGCCTGGGGGCTGG